GACTTAGGTTTCTAGTGAGATAATATGACTATTTATAGGGGAGTGGCAGCCCTATTTGGCGAACAGTGGCCGGCCATATATGGTGAAATTGTGTGAGTAATTGCAAGCAATTAATCCTCAATTAAATAGGAAATTTGGGAGTTACCTTTTGAATAAGGATTTGATGAGGAGTGATGAGAGGGATTTGAATAAATACCATTTTGATCACCTTTGACTTCCTTGATTGAGCCGTTATTGTCCGTTGCATACGCGTGGGAATCCCGGTGTGCCTCGAGGTAATTTTGTCATTTTAATCTAAAAATCCATGTGTCACTTCCATAATTTTCTTGATTATTTTTTGCTCCACAAATGCCCCGACACATGTTGGGCTACTTGTAGGAAAGGGCAACATATATAGAGTTTTCCTTTACTTTAGGAAACATAAGATTGTTTCCTATTTTGATGTAGATTCCCACTTTGGCTTGGAATTAGATTCTTATAGGAAAGGGAAGTAAATCACCGTCAAAGCATATTTAAGCCTACTTTAAGTAGGGGATTAAATCAACTTTGGAGGGCAATTATTTATCCCTACAAGAAAGATAGAAAGCTAAATGATATTTGTTCCCCCTCCCCTAGCTTTCTTCTTCGCTTGCCCATGCAAAGTACCATCTTTCATTGATTTTTTTTTGTCTTCTCCGCACCGCACTGCATCGTACCGAGGTAACAAAAATTTAATTTTCCTTATCTTCTCTACTATCTAGTTAAGCCGAGAAAGATAAATCGTAGGGTCTAGCTCGTGGGCGGTCAAGGTTAATTTTTAGGCTGCCCTATGATTGCTGAGCTGCTCTATAATTTGTTGATTGTCCTTCTCTGTCTATGTAGATTTGGAATTTGGCTCAACTCTTAAGACTTCTCCAAAAATGAAGAAGGTGCATATCACTTTAGGTATCCCTGTTGAGTACCGTGAATGACATTGTCTGCTTACTCCTCTTCACCGGGAGAAAAGTGGGCTACCCTCGAGAAAGGAGATAAAGTCGATCAAGGCGGATACATTGGCCCGTTCGATCATTGTCGTGAAGCCTGCTGAGAATGAAGGTAGAAGTAAGAAATCTTCCCTGCCTGCTAAAGAGATGTCGATTAAGAAAAAGCTGGAGGCTTTCTCCACTGCTTATGAGGGTTAGGAGCTAAGTTTGGTTCGCCTTTATAGAGGCTTGCTACTATAAATAGCAATAAGGTGGACTATATTGCTAAAGTGGTGCCAAGGCCTACTCCTCTTACTGCTGTGACTAATTCACTTATTGAGCAATAGGAGACCGCTCACATGCGCAGTTGCGAGAAATCCATCAAGTCTGTTTCTAGAGAGTCTGCTGAGATTTGTGTGCTTTTGAAGCCCGATCTGCTTGAAGACATGGATGCGTGTGCCAAACTTATTGATGGCGTCATAGGGGTTGTTTGCCTAAGTTCTTTAGCGAAGCATACGACCCAGTATATGAGGATTGCTCTACTTGCCATGATGCAGAACGATGATTTTGGCAGCCCAGTCTATGCTCCTTGACCAAGAGGATATCAAGGTTACCAAGGAGAGCAACGACTATGGCAGCTGAGGCTTACTTTTTTGCCGAGAAGATCAAAAGGTTGGAGTATGAGCTAGTCGTTTTGAAGAGGTCCAATATCTCTGCCCCCACTTCTCTGCAACTTGAGACCACTAGCTAGGAGATCGTTGACTTGAAGACTAGTCTTAACGTGATCCAAGCTAAGTATGAAAGTGTAGATAATGAGATTGGCTTTTACATACCTCATATTTAATATCTTGAGTGTGCCATTTCTTAGCTGTGAATGGATATTTACGTAAAGGATAAAGAGTTGATTGCTGTTTATAATCAAGTGATTTACTTCAAGAAGATCGTTGATAGGCTTGAACCCCCAGTGTTGGAACTCTAAGGTGCGCTGAAAATCAACGAAAGTCTAAATAAGGAAGTGGATGAGCTTTTGCACATCCGTTTTGGTCTGCTCTAGGAGAACGAGCAGATGAAGGGTGAGAAGGTTAGACTTGAGGCTTCGCTTGTTCAGAGTCAGACTGATTTCTACAAGATGGGTTATATAGATCTTCTCTTTGGTAGGTCATTTGACTTTGAATTTGCTGGGAAAGACTTCGAAACCTTTTCTATTTCTCCAGAAGACTTGTTTGCCTTTACTTTTGAGGCTTCTATTAGTGAAGTAGTTAGAGAAGTTGGTGCCTAAGTTAGGGTAGCAGAGGGTGAAACGTTGGATGATGCTGTTGCTGAGAGTGTAGCGGCTACTAAAGGTGTGGTGATCGAGTAGTTGTGGGATGTCTAAGCTGCTGAAGAGTAGTCTTCTAGGTAGCCTTTAGGATTTTCTTTGTTTTCCTTGTTGCTTTTTTTCTTTGCTTGAACTTTATCGCCTTTGCTATTTGTTTATCAATTTTGCTAGAAAATTTAATAAACTTGTTTCCTTCGTCTTTCTTCATCTTCAGTTCTTTTGTTTATGCCCAACCTTTGACCTTTAGACCAGTGACATGCGTGCTACTTTTCTATAAGCAGACAAGCCCACGTAGTCTATGCAGCCGCAAGTTTTGGTGTAGAATATTTGCAAAGTTGTTAGCCATAGGGTTGACAGCCGGACGCCTTACTTACAGAAGCAGACGAGTCCACGTGACCACTTGGCTGTTAACTTTGGTTTTCTTCAACCTTTAAGCTGTGTGGCCTGCATCACAACATACTAATGATTTCTGGGACATGAAATTCACGAACCTTCATATCAAAAGTACGCAGTTGTATGGAATATCGTAGGCAAAGGTCCAAGAGAACTCTTTTGCTCTTTATGTAACCAATTACGTGGGTTGCATAGCAATTATCACAACACTTTAGGAATTAGTGTAGATTTGAACGATCATTATGTGCTTGACGAAGATGAAGCTTATCAACTACGTAACATATTAGCAATGGATAAAGCTTCATATATGCACGCTAACTGTTCAACCTTTCATAAAAATGTGTGGTTGTATGAGTTTAGCGTGGCTTATTGTTTGAAAGGCAAGCCGTATGCAGTCTTCTAGAAACTGTAGGTTACCTTAGTGCACTCGGTATTAGCTTTAAGGTTCTAGGGATTTGAATAAATATCATTTTGATCACCTTTGACTCTTCTTTGATTGAGTCGTTATTGTCTGTTGCATGTGCGTATGAATCCCCGTGTGTTTTTAGAGTAATTTTGCATTTTCACCTAAAAATTTACGTGTCACCTCCATAATTTTCTTGATTATTTTTGGCTCCACAAACTTCTAATCCTAAGAATAATAAACAAACAACTTAGGAGCTGGGAGGACAAAAATGTCCTTCAAGTGCTACAGGCGTGGCCTCGATGGTATTGCACGACAAATGAGGCACTTTTGTCGAGCTCGCGTGTTGGACATGCATGATCCAACTAACGAGCCATTTATCTTATCAAAGTTACTGAGCCAACGTGGCTTAGCGAAGCCCAAACCCCTCCTAACCTAACAAGGCATGATGGAAAAATTAGATCAACATGGCCGGATAAGGACTGATCTTGCCAAAGATCACAGAGGGATAATAATCCCTACAATCATGGTCCATTTGCTAACAACAAAATTCAATGTGGTTTCTTGCAAAAAAAAAATTCAACGTGGTTAAGAGATCTATTTAAATGGGATTCTTAATTCAGGTTGTTTGCCACATATCTTAAAATCAAACAGTTAATGTCTTAATAGGCAAAATGACGATCTTGAATAAGCCAATCACGGGACGTTACACATGTCCTAATGTCTAACTTAAGCATAAAGAGTTAATTGTCCATATACCAAGAAACCAAAGCTTTTGTATCCTTTCAATTCACTAAAGTCTAATATAAGCATTAAAAAGACATTCGCTCACACCAAACCTGTGTAATGAGGACTAACGTGTCTATCCCCTTCTTGGTTGCAAGATACTTGTTCCCAACAATCATTGCTCCAAATTTGGAGACCTCAAGTTTGCAAGCAAGTTAAATAGCTTTGCTACTCCGAGCAATCGCACTTATCATCACTTGTAATTTAAATGAAAATCTCAAAACATACACCATCACGACAACAATTTTAATATAATCTCAATCCATCTCTTAACCTATGCTCTTCAAATCTCAATCTCAGACAAAAAGAGTAAAGAAAAGTAGAAACTGCCTAATAAACAAGAAAATGATGAAGTTGAAGGATGGAGAATTGAAAACGTCAAATGAGGTTGAGAAAGTGCCTTTAAGAGAATAGGAGGTGACTATATAATTCTTCACACACATGCACACTAAATAGTTTGGTTTAGTATGGATTGGTTTCATATTAACCAAATTACTGCGTGTTCGTTTTCTTACACTTGAGTTCGAGTCTCATTACTCGTAAATTAGAGTATTTTAAAATATTGTATTGTAAACAGAAAAAAATATCGGCAAGCTAAATGAAACAAATTAACTATTTTTTAGTTCGGAGCGGCCCAAGGAATTGATTTAGTGGAAAGCGAGAAAATATATGAAACTTCCAATCCGAGTTCGAACGTTTATAGATATGAATTCGACCATCTTATCTAATATTTAGTCTACATGAAGAGAAAAATTAGTCTGCCAGCTACATCTTGTATTCAAAAAATAAATAGTCTAATCACTCGAATTGGTTGATTTAGCTCATATTTTATTAATTTGAGCGTCCAACGCTTTTGCGAGCGATGCAAACATTTACCAAAAAATCTAATAAAATTTCCATCGTTTGAATAAAAAGAAAAAGAAACAGAGTCAGCACAGGTAGCACAGAAATTCCATGCTACTTCCCCCAATACATTTCGGTTCGCGCTTTCACGCATCAAAAGTTTCCAACAACTGCCACTTTTCCCAATTTTGGAGCCAAATGGCCAAAACGACACGTCGCCCAATATCTAATACTAATTAGAATTTTAATTTTAAGATTAATTTTAATTCTAATTATCCTCTAAATAATAATAAATTATATAAGCAATTCGTCGTTGTATGCGAAACTGAAAATTGTGGTTTAAGGCAAACGGAACCTCTGTGTGTGTACGTGTGACGAACACAGCTCGAAGTTTTCTCTCTGCTAATTTTCCGGGGAAGTTTTTGCTTGATTTTCCTGAGAAAATTGTTCTGATTCCGTCATTACGATTGCAAGGTCAAAATTCCGAGCTCTGTTCTGCATATTACTATATTGTTGTCTGTGTTTGGGCGAAGAGAAAGTTTCAAAATCGTTTCAAATTTCTTCGGATTCTACTTTTTTTTGCTTGATTTAGGGTTTTCTCTTCCGAATTGGGGGGTTTTCATCGATTCCAGAAGGAGTATAGTGTTTCCGAGAACGGTCGCGGATTTTAAAGCCTTTTACAATTCGATTTATTGAGGTTTTTTGTTGAAGGTTTAAGATTGGGGGTTCAATGTGAAATTAGGGTTTGGTTTATTGAAATCGAAGGCTGAGCTCGTCGAATTGGATGATTAGAATATGATAATCAAACGTCCGGAGAAATTGGAAATGCCGAATCTGAAACGCTGCACGCTCGAAGATCCCGAACCTCAAGCCTTTGAGTTTTCCGATAACCCGAAGAAGCGGAAAACAACTGGGTACGATGGAGCGGGCAATGGCGAGGCGGAGGATTTCAGCAGCGGTTCGGGTTCTTCGCACAATGACGAGCCGTTTTGGCCCGCGAGGGAGGGACCGTCGAATTTAGAGCGGTTGATTAATCAACGAGCAGTTATGGCGAAAGAGAAGATGAATCAACGACAATCTTTGGCTAAAGAGAAAACGGAGAAACCGGCATTGAACCGGAGCTTCGGGACGGTACGGAGGTCGAAGCGGGGGCGCATTCAAGTGCCTCCTTCGAGGTTTAGTGATTCAGTTTTTGGTGTAAATAACAGTAGCAAAACTAATTTTGACGAAAGGGCAACGACATTTGATGACGAAGGTTTTCATGAAGTTTTAGTAGAAGAAGAAGATACAGAGGGAATTGAGAAATTGGGTTTTGTGAAAAAGAGCAAGGAGGATATTAACCGGCAAAAGAATTCAAAATTTTCGAAGAAAAAGTCAAAGAAGTTTGAATATGTTGGGAAGGAAGAACCAGAAGAAAATGAAGTGGATTGTATAGGGTTTAAGGATTTTGATTGTAGAGGTGATTTTAGTTCAGGGGGCATGGACAGACAGAAAAATGCCAATTGTGCAAAGAAGAAAGAAGTATATAAGCCGCAGGACTTTGCTTTGGGTGACGTTGTTTGGGCTAAGTCTGGGAAGAGCTACCCGGCATGGCCGGCTGTGGTTATCGATCCCATTTTGCAGGCTCCCAAATCAGTTCTGAGCTGCTGCGTTCCAGGTGCCATATGCGTGATGTTCTATGGGTTCTCAATGACGACAAATGGATCACAGAGGGTAAATTTTTGCTCTCAAACTTTATGTTTTAGCAAATGTCGGTTGGACTAGTTCTCCAAGGCAGTTTACCTCCCCCTGCACTCATTTTTGAATGGGCTGTGATATCCGCACATTCCATTTTATTTCTCACATACCATTCTAATTTTTGACCGTTGGATCGGATGAATTAAAGAAGATCAACGGACAAAAATTAACTAGGGTGTGTGAGAAGTAATTTGGAGTGTGCGGATAGCACACCCCTTTTTGAATCCCCCTCTCTGTAGGTTGGGTAGTTTATAATATCGGTGAAAAATCTCCATGCTTTATTTTTTGTGTGGTTCGTGTACATTTGTTCGGTGTGGAATTTAAATGAACGTTAATGTGCAGGATTATGGGTGGGTGAAGCAGGGAATGATATTCCCCTTTACGCAGTTCTTGGACAGGTCTGTAGATAGTCTTTTGAAGTTTGCTTATTTGTTTAGGGAAAATCTTTGGGCATTTTTATAATTTTTGTTTGTTCAGATTTCAGGGTCAGACCCAGTTGTACAAGAGCAAGCCTAGTGATTTTCAGATGGCTATAGAGGAGGCGTTGTTAGCAGAAAATGGATTTCTGGACACAAGCTTCGGGAGTTATACAACTGATCCAGAGGCAAATCCTGCCCAATTTCGAGAGGCTAATGGTTTTTATGAAGATCAGGAATATTACACTCAGAACCAGGTACCTTTTTCATCTCTTTGACTTTCATTTATTTCTTTTTCTGGGAATCCTTGTCACAATGATTTCTGTTCAGGGTACATGACTTGAATAATATAATTCGGACCTTTTATATTTTGTGAAGAATGCCATATGACGTTCCTGAAAGAAAATGGTTTGGCATTTTTATAAGAACTGAAAAGGATTACCCTTTACAACTGAATTACACAGATGAATTTTATAGCAAGGATCCAGAAAACTCTCCTTGCTTTGTTTTCAGTTTTCATTTTGGTTGGGATATTTGTCATGCAGAGATTTTGATTTTTAGCGTAGCTTTAGGTAATTTTATGTTTCTTCTCGCAAAGTTTTGTTTCCAGGTTATGACTTGTATTTTTTGTTAACTAGCAAGGTGTAATTGTCTCTGTAATAAAATTTCATCCATTGAATTTATTTTGCAGGAGGCATATCCTAAAGATGCAAAAGCTTGTGACTGTTGTGGTTTGGTTACTCCCTCTAAAGCTATGAGAAGAATGAAGGGCTCAAGTTTGTGCACACATTGTTTCAAGGTTCGAATTGCCTCATCTTGGAATTTTCATTTTTACATATTTCTTGGTTCCTAACGGTGCTTACATTCATCTTATGTAGTTAAAAAAATCAAAGCAATATTGTGGCATATGCCTGAAGATATGGCACCACTCTGATGGTGGGAGTTGGGTGAGTTATCTGCAATATTTTTATCGTGATCACTATTCTCAGTATCATTTGTTTCTTTACCTATGTGGTTGAGTGGTTTGAGAGATTGTTGGTATCTCTGTTTTAGGTATGCTGTGATGGTTGTGATGTATGGGTGCATGCCGAGTGTGACAAAATTTCCAGTAAAGTTTTAGAGGTGTAACTTTCATGCTTAATTTGAAATTTATTTTTTTTCTCTCCTATGCTGTTTTTTCCCACTTTTGTTAACGAATGGAGGGTTACTAAATGGTTCAGGACCCAGAGCACACTGATTACTATTGCCCTGCTTGCAAAGCGAAGTCCAAGTGTTGTTCGTCAGGTTTGGTAAAACATCAGCAAAAATCCGGGTATATTAGAAATACTTTTTTGTATCTCTATTTCATTTGGAGGCAATTGAATTTTTGTGTTTATAGATTGTTTTTTTATATTGTTCCCATTGAGTTAACTGAATGTATGAACATTTTTGAAACAGTTCTACGCCCAACTTTCAGAAATCTTCTAAGTCAAATGTCCAGAAATCTTCTACACCAAATGTTCAGAAATCTTTTGCGCCAAATGTCCAGAAATCTTTGATTCCTGAGGAGGTAGCTGTGGTTTGTAATGGAATGGAAGGAACGTATAATCCAAAACTGCATATGTAAGCCCTTGTCTTTTGTAAAAGGAGAACTTGTATTGCAATGAAAGTACTTCATGAATTTTTGTGCCTTTTCGTTCACCATATTGTTTTTGCTGGGAATCTGCCAGTTTTAGTTCACCAATTTAAGGCTCTCAGTTTCAACTTTCAACTATATGATGAAATAAATTTGTTTTTGGGAAGGATTTTTTGAGCTTCTTCTAATTATTTTATGTTGCAGCATTGTTTGTAAGTGTGGTTCATGTGGGTCAAGGATGCAGACACCTAGTGAATGGGAAAAGCACACAGGCTGCAGAGCCAAAAAATGGAAGCATAGTGTGAAAGTGAAGGCCACAATGCAACCACTGGAAAAATGGGTTTGTGCAATATCTATCATCTTGAAAAATTGATTAGATTTTCCATAGTTGATCTTATTACATTTATTGGCATAGTTATGTTCAGTGTAATTCTGATAAGACATCAACAGTCTCATTTTCATGACCATAAAAGTTTAACACTTTTAACTCTTTTCTGTTTTGATCAGAATTATGCATCATTTTGAGTCTATATAGTATATACTAATGTTGGATGTGTTCCAGATTGAAGACTATAATAAACATGGCTGGAATCCTGTCAAGTTAGTTAAGCAGCAACTAATTGCTTTATTGCAAGGTGAAATTTGTGCCACATGCTTCACATGTTGATGCTGATTTTCTGTATGTATGTTTGTGTCCGTGCGTGTTGGGAAGGAGAAGGGGGTTTCTCTTGTGCTTATGTCACAATTGAGGCGTTTGTGTGATGAATTTGTATGGTTAGGAGACTCATGCGTATCTTTGCTTCAACAGAAAAGTACGAGCCAGTTAATACAAAGTGGACAACGGAAAGATGTGCTGTTTGTAGATGGGTTGAAGATTGGGAGGATAATAAAATTATTATATGCAACAGGTGTCTGTCTCTATTTTTTGTGTTCCAAATTTTTGTATTTTAGATAAGTGACTTAGTCTTGTTTTTGGAACAAGTTGGGCCTTTTATGTAGCTCTAAGTCTACAAGGAGTTTTAAAAATAATTTTTGTTGATGTCCAGGTGTCAAATAGCTGTGCACCAAGAATGCTATGGAGCAAATGATGTGCAGGATTTTACATCATGGGTTTGTAGAGCATGTGAAACGCCCGATGTCATTAGACAGTGTTGCCTTTGTCCTGTAAGAGGTATGTTACCTATATCTAGTCTCTTGAGTAGATATTACTTATGGAGTTTCTAATGACACTACTGTAAATTGATTTTTCATTGCTTATTTAATATTTGTCCATCACATTTATTATTTCCTACTTCAGGTGTTTACTTTTGTTCTCATTTGACTATTATTTTTCATGCTATATCTATATTTTTTTTCAACCGTATTTTGGAAGCTTGGGTGGATAGTCATTAATAGTCATGCATATTTTTGAATAAGTTTAATGGTGTACACTAAGTTTTTGTTTTTAATTAATTAAACTTTTGATGCATGTTGAGTGTGAAATTTACAGGACTGCCTCTTTATATATGAAGTTGACTGTATTCCCATGTTTATTTTCTGCTACTGACTTTAAAATTGTTTTTTCAGGAGGTGCTTTGAAGCCTACTGATGTTGACACCTTGTGGATTCATATCACTTGTGCTTGGTTTTGTCCTGGAGTTGGTTTCTTGGATCATGACAAAATGGAACCTGCAGTAGGAATCCTTAGAATCCTACCATCTACATTTTTGAAGGTAAGGTTATGTTCTGAGTGATATTGCAATTGGGTTTTTTTTATTTTTTTTACTGAAAAGCGGTAAATTTTTTTTTTTTTTTGGGGGGGGTGGGGTTTGTGGGGTGGGGGGTTTCTATCCTCCATGTTTACTCCTTAAGTTCTGAATAAACTTATAGCCTGTTATGTTCTGGAATGCAGCGCTGTACAATCTGTAAGCAGATTCATGGTTCCTGCACCAAGTGTCGCAAATGTGAAACTGGTTTTCATATAATGTGTGCATCAAGAGCAGGCTACAGCATGGAAGTAAGTTTAATTTCGTTGAATTACATTGTGTACACAGCCTCAGTCAGAATCTACAATTTATGTATTATTCATTTTGGCTAAAAAGGTCATCTCACTAGGGGTGATGATGATTGTCCATTGAATCATCATAAAAAGGTCATCTCAATTGACCTAAAAAAGAGATCATCTCAATTTATGCAGACATTCCCTTGTCTTATCCTAATGTGGCGATAATTTTTCTTTAGTAGTTTGTATAATTGCACATATCTTTTATGGTTAGAATAAAGTGAAAAAGGTTGGTAGTTGTGATTAAATCGTATCTTGAACTTTCAGGTGCACAGTCTAGAGAAGAATGGCATACCAATAACAAGAAAGTTGATATATTGCCCATTTCATAGGTTAGAAGTGTGCCATATTTTTCTTATGTTTAATGAAACTAGTTTTTTCTATTGCTCCACCAATGAGAGGTGGTGGTTGGCTTTAATTGTAAGTCATTGTGCGCCAGATCTATTGATTTCTATCTTGTTTACATTTGTCTTAATGCAGCCCCCCAAATCCAGATGCTGTTGTAGTTGTTCATACTAATTCAGGGGTTTTCGCTGCCAGAGGCTCGCTTCAAAATCAGAAGGGGTGCTTCAGAGTTGCAAGGGCAGTGCCATCAGAGAGCACTGAACTTCCAGAATCAGAACCTTCGACCTCAGAGACTAACGAGTTTGAACCGCTCTCTGCTGCAAGAGGCAGTGCTTTTAAAAGATCAAATTTTAAGGTAATTTTCTGCTATATGATTTTGCATCTCTTTGATCTCATCATTTTTCATAGAATTATTTATTGTTTCTGAGTTGAATTATGGATTATTTTCTGTTTGTTATTCTTAACCAGGGAGGCGAACGGCTGCCAGTATTCCACCGACCAATGGGGCCAACACGTCATTCCTTGGGCACAATAAATAGCTTGAGTACATTTGAAGTAATATTCTTGTCCTTGTTGATTTAAACTTTTCTTTTATGGGGTATGATTTAAACTTTTCATTGATGTCTAAATGTTAAAAGTATTTTTTTTTTTTTTTTTGTATAGACAATATATATTTTTTTCTTTCTTTAGTTGGTTGGTTGGACAGTAATTATATCTATTGCCTTTTATTAGGAAGCAGAAGATTCTAAAGTTTTTTCCTCCTTCAAGGATCGCCTTTTCTACTTACAGGTAAGTCAACTCTCTCATATATTGTAGTTGCTTTACTTTATTGAGATGGACATTCTCGTTAACATTTCTTCTGCAGAATTGATTTACTGTTGTTTTTGTTTCAGAAAACTGAGAATCATCGTGTTTGTTTTGGTAAATCTGGAATACATGGATGGGGCCTATTTGCTCGTAGGAATTTTGAAGAAGGAGAAATGGTATTTAATGCCATAGTTCCCTTTGCACTTACGTATATGCATATGCATCTATTTATAGTAATATGGATGTGCATTGTGAGTTCATATAGATTATTTCTAATATTATAGCCACTTAAAGATTACATTACTGATAGAAGTTGATACACGTGTGAATTCTTTAATTCCTTATTTTTGAAAATACAGTTTGATGAGTGGCTTCTAGGAATTGTATTCGAGTATATTGTTTGAGTTTGATTTAGGCAACCAAATGTTTATTTCCAGGTTGTTGAGTATCGCGGAGAGAAGGTGAGGCCGAGCGTTGCAGATATGAGAGAAGCACGATACAGACGTGAAGGCAAAGACTGCTATGTGAGTCGATTTATCAAGATACTCCTTTGTTTCCATCAGGGCGTCTCATTGTCTGGGCAGTAGAAAATTAACTTGTATGAGTTGTACCATCTGACAACCCTGACGGATGCAAGAATGCTTAATAAATCAATTTTATGTGGGAAAAAATGCTGGGAACTTGTAATTTCAAATAGTGATTAGTTTACGTAGTGTTTCAAAAATTGTTTCTCCAGTTACAATGAGTAGGAATGGTATAAGCTAGACACAAATACGAAGATAGAAAAAAAGTTATGGTGGTCGGGTTGAAGAGTATTGTACCGCTAGAAGTTCATTCTCTCTCAAATTTAATTTGTCTGTGGGGTGTGATTCTGAAGTCTATGAACTATCTTTTGCAGCTCTTCAAGATCAGTGAGGAAGTAGTAATTGATGCTACAAGCAAGGGAAATATAGCACGCTTAATCAACCATTCGGTAAGTTCTATTTTCCCTAATCTCTCTCCAGTTTTCTAAAGATGTAGCTAATCACTTCGGGGTTTTTTGGTTGGGGTAATAGAGATGGCATTTTGTAGCACTGCATACATGTACATCTTTGCTTACCTTGAATGCTAAATTGAACCGCATTTGCTGCAGTGCATGCCCAACTGCTATGCAAGGATTATGAGTGTCGGTGATGAAGACAGCCGGATTGTTCTCATTGCTAAGACCAGTGTGGCCACCGGTGAAGAACTAACGTAAAATCCTCCACTCTCTTATTGTGCTTTAAATTTCCCTTTCAATTAGTTTAGATTGACCTGTATTCTGTTCAGAAAAGTAACGTTTCCCACTTACTTGTCATTCCTTAACAGGTACGATTACTTGTTTGATCCGGATGAACTTGATGAGCTGAAAGTTCCGTGCCTCTGTAGAGCACCCAACTGTCGAAAATTTATGAATTAAACAACAGTTCATACATTTCTTGCTCCCAATTCATGTCTGCAGAGCTCGAACCCGTCTCCTAACCATTTAGGATACCATTTTTTTTCACCTGAGCTTGTAATTTTCGGTTTCTTTACTGCGATTCGTGTTGTAACCACAGAGTAACAGAATAAAACTGTAAATTCCCTTCTATGGCACAGATTTTATTCGAGAAATTTGTTGAGCTTTTGGTCCTCCTTCACACCAAAAGAAAAGAAAAGGAAATAAAAAAAAAGAACTTTGCAAATTAAAGAATCAATATTGAAAGTGTTTATTGTTAATTGTCCTTACTCTAATTATTTTTATTAATCAAGCGTTGGGCATTTGAAATCAGGATTTCTTCCAACAAAGCGGAGATTAAATTCGGTTTTATGTATCCGATCTCGCCATTCAGGTTGTAAGGAAATTCTTAATGAAGCAAGATTCTACTCATTACTAATGCACAAGAAGATAAGTGAGATGCACGAATAGAGCTAGTTCCAAATTTTCTATCAACAAGGATACTAAGCAGTCAATAAATTGCGTAATCTTCGTCTAAAAAAATTGTGTAATCTTCTTGTTTAGTGTCCCTTAGAAAGTTTATAATCAGTTTAGTCTTGCATATTTCCCGTAAAATAAAACACCTAATTTTCTTTTAAAATCTAGTTAATCTAGAAATTTTAAGGATAGTTTTGATAACTATTTTGTTTTTAATTTTTGGTTTGTTTTCAATTTTTACATTTTTGAAATTTGAAAACCAAAGTTAAAACTCGGGCCAAATTTTAAAAACTCAAGAACGTAATTCTCAATTTGAATTTTTTTTCCTTTTCTTTTTTTTTTTTCTTTTTTTTTTTTTTTTTTGAACCCCAAAATAGTTATCAGGTAACATATCAATTTTAGTTTTTAAAAAGTGAGGAAAAACAAAAAAGAATGAAAACCAGCCAGCCTAGTCCACGTGGCAAGCCCAACTCAGATGAAAGAGCATCGATATGCGGCCCATTAAATTCAAATGTGATTCTGTTACCTTTTTGAATTAGAGGATTGGCGCGCCTATAAATAGCGAGGGCTTGAAGCTCAGCTCTGAAAGAGAGTGATCGGTTTACTTATTTGCTCAGAACAGCCGATCACTCACGCACTCAGAGATAATGCCTCCGAAGCGGAAGAGAACCACCGTCGCTCTGCCACGGCCACCGCCGATGCAAAAGCGCATGCGAAGAGCCAAGACGATTTGCTCTTGCAGCTCCCCTCGCTTCACTCGCAGCTCCGCTCGCTCTGCCTTCTGCTGGTCCTCTCTCTCTCTCTCCCTACATTTCATTTTTTTCTTCGAAATTTCGTCCGCGAGTGGATTTGATCGTGTTTGTTTTGTTTGAGCTCATGAATCGTGAATTCGAATGGAAGTGATGACTTGTGATTGAATTATTTTCAATTCTAATTCCGTTTCTTTGTAATTGAGCTTATATCTGTACGATTACATGCACGCAGTTGAGAATTCAGTAGCTCGGATGCAAATCGGAGCTGCGATTTTGAAATCGTTCTGTTTTGCTCGAAATTTGACTGCGTTGCATGTGACCTTACTTCTTCGAGCTCGATCTTGACTTCGATCATCGTAATTTATATTATATTTAAAAAAAATAAAAGTTTCCGATACGATTGTAAACTTCCGCGATTTGAATTTTCGTAAGCAAGTATGCAGTCGTCTGTTTGGCTGCCGAGAAAACAGAGGAAACGAGAAAACTACATTTTCTTCTCTTTCCTCTTCGTACATTACGCATTTTTCTGTCTTAAATCTCCAGTTTGTAAATATTTTAGATGATCAAATTTTCCAATTCGGATTATCACTGCGAAATCTGAGAATATTTCTCTGTTTAATTTGGAAAGTATTTCACCAGTAACCAAACAGAGCGTAACTACTTTTCAAATCGATCCTAACTATTTTAATAATTTTAATTAATTAATTTTATTTATGTGAGTTTATTATGCATCAAAAGCTACGAAGAGGACGTTTGGACAGAGATCGCCAATCATCTAGACGCCAAGTCACTGGTGAAGCTCGCGACGACATGTCGTTGGTTCCGCGGTCTGATCATGGAAGAAGGGAGCATATGGAAGCACGTGTGCCTACGTGATCTTCAGGTCCCTGAGCCTCGTCACGTGGCACTCAATTGGAGGAAGCTGTACGTTTCAGCCTTTGGTAAGAATCTGAGAGCCACCAGAAGTCAATTAGCATAATAATATGGATTAGATTAGTTTTAAGACGTATTTATTATCGTAATTGTCTGATTAAGTGGGATTCGCGGTTTTGCAGATGGGAGTCACTCTTACATGTTTCGCCAGCAGGAGAAGCATATCGGTGAGTGTCCCATTTTACCCCCGTTGGATTGTTTTTGTGGTGAGAATTTACAGGTGCATCCATGTAATTATGCTCAAGAAATTTATATAGCCCTGTTTAAAATGTTTGTAAGATTTATAGGAAATTTGTACGAGCCTTTTTATGCGTAAGAAAACTCATAAAGTCTCGTTCTCTCGATCACCTGGTGAACTTTTTTATATGTACACATTTCGTTATTTCTGACTTTGGAAAAAGTCAGTGACTTGTGACATTTTTCCATCTGTTTAATTTTCAGCTGGTTTCCTTGCTCTCATTTGTCTGATTGAGAGTGCAGTAAAATATTTGGCTATCATGATGGCATTTTTCACTAAATTTTGGATGAATCACAGACTGGATGCGCATCGGTGCATTTTCCGTTGAATCCTCAGAAGCATTCCTAACAGAAAAGCTGATCAAACCATCAAGGCTCCCAGAAGGAGATACCAAACAGAAAATGTTGGAGTCCTGCGGCAGTTGTGTGTTGGATAAAGTTAAAACTGGGATATGGATTGCTGGTAATTACTTGAGCTGCACTCAGTCATCCTGGTGCTTTATTTTTGGGCTAATGAAGATGAAATAGTGCTAATGTTCAATTTAGTTAACTTGTGTTTTCAACTGTGATGGTGTTCGACAGATCTCCAGCTTGTCCGATGCCCCGTCTGCGAGCTCAATACCTGTGATGGTAAGGCATAACAAACCCATCACTGCTCAATATGTGTGGTTGCGAAAATGCTACACATTATCAAACTCTTCCAAACGACCTTGCTTTCGCAGTCTGCTTATGTTTCATTGTTATATTCGTTAACAGCAACTGAGAATGTTTGCATATATACGCAGGAACGATGCAGACACTGGATGCAAGGCATATTGAGTTGTTCTTGAGCGAGGGGTACAAGAATGGAAGCTGGGAATACGAACTTATAGGTCGCCATGATGTCAACAAGCATGCCGATGGTGCTTGTGGGGCTATTTTCGATATGAAACACCTCAAGGAATCTTCAACATCTGGTAACGTCAGATACTCTTTTCCCCTTAGTCATCTGTGACACTGGTATTTGCTGTTTCAGCAACCATAATTTTGACTCCTCGCATTTGTTGAAAGTGTAAAGTGATCTCATTTAATTTTGAATGGAACTGCAGCAGTGTTTAATCTCAAGTCATGGGTGGGAAAACCAACAGACTGGCAACCAAAGGCTGTCATTACTCTACATGCAGTTGCAGTCAACACAAATCTGCAGAAGAATGAAGGTACTAGTTAGTCGATTTGCCATAGACATAACCAAAACTCAGCTTAACTAAGAGTCTGAGTGACAAAATCCGTTTCTAACTTCAATGTTTTCTTCGATTTTCTCGATGCCAGGACTTCAAGTGAAGTACCATGCCATGAGAGATGGACCTCAAGGAGAAGTAGTATCCATCAGAATCTCACAGCAGCTCCTGTAAAGTCACACACCTCAAAACTTCCTCACCAAGCTACACGAAACAGATTCCCAGAACTCCACAGATTATTGCTAGTTGCCAATCTCCGAAAGGCAACTCAATAAAACGCCCTTCGAATAATCAGATACATGAAAATATTTCCTGTTAGCTTAGAGATAGATCGGTCTTCCTTGTAGAAATGATAAATACATATGCTACTACAGATACATGTTACCTGCTCACACACATATTTGTGAATCAATGAACGGCTCAGATCAATTGTTCAAAACATCTTTGAAATTAAATTTTTATATAAGTGATATTCAATATTAAATTCATCAAAATTACGTCAAACTTGGGTGCAGAAGGGGATTCGAAGCTGACTTTCGGGTTGTTAACAAAGCTATTATAACACCATTCCACCTTTGTCATTCTGGTTTTTGTCCTGAGATAACATGGACATCTTACTCCTCGTCTCTCTCCTCTTCCTTCTCTTCCCCCACGTCTCTGCACTCAATGCTTGCTCGGCTTCCAACTGTGGTGAAACCAGCTTCCCAATCCGATTCCCTTTCTGGTTAGTACTCAACCAACCCGAAAACTGCGGTTTCCCGGGCTTCAACGTGGACCGCAACAGCCACGGGCTAAAAACGCTAAAACTTCCAAAACCCAGAGACATTTTCGTCCGAGGAATCAGCTATGTCACACAAGAAATCCAACTTTTCAACCCCGAAAACTGCCTCCCTCGAAAGCTCCTTACTCTCAATCTCTCAGGCTCTCCTTTTATTGCTCCCATGCACTAAAACTACACCTTCCTCAGCAAGTCAAGGTTCACTTCCATTGACTGCCTCAGCAACTCCACCACCTCGGTTCTGGCCACCCCTTCCACCAGCTTGACGGATTCGATGTGCACCACTTGCCGGATTGTTGCCACATTGGCTGTTCCAGTTTCTGGGCAGGTTCAGACGGGGATGGATTCTCAACCACCCTTGACTCGGATCTTTGTTTTGACTTGGTATAAGCCTGCTTGCAGTACTTGCGATGTGTAAGGCGGCATTTGTGGATTTCTCAGCAATGCCACCAAGAACTTGGTTCCACTTTCAATTCAACAGCAGGTAAATTTCCTGATTCATATATTTGCCTAATTGCCATTTCCAATGGTGAGAGTTCGTTAAGCGTTTCACACTACCGCTTTCTCCTTCTGCACCATTTCCTGCCCTGTGATTGCCTGTTCTGCTTGTATCGAAGACGGCTAATGCTGCACAGCGAAGGTCCACCGCTGTTGACCGCCACCGCAAGCCCCACCGTTGTAAAATTGTTTGGATCAGACAACCATAGAATCCTACCAGATGCTAGTTCTTGGGGAGAGTAGGCGCCTTCCAGGACACAACGATACCACCTGCGCTATATGCTTGTTGGAGTATCTCACCAAAGAGACGGTGAGATGCATACCAGAATGCAAAAACTGCTTCCATGCAGATTGCGTTGATGGGTGGCTGAAACTGAACAGTTCCTGCCCAGTTTGCCGGAACAACCCGTCCCCAAGTCAAGCCAACTCAACACCCCCAGCTCATGTAAAATGCCTACAATCGAACATGTAGTTTCGTGGAAAGAACACTAAATTATGGATGCGTACTACAATAGTGAATCTCACAAAACGAAAATTGCACAATATTATTGCATCAGTCAAAGCATCATGGTATACAAGTACAAAACTAGTACGACAACCGTGCAGAGATTGAAATATACACACCGAACCCCGAGGGATTTTTCTCTACAAAGTATCAAGGTTAAATGAAGCACATAATGTGCTTATTTCTTTGCAAGGAGCTTCTTTGGAATCTTCTCGATTGGGGTAGTTTTTAGCATGAAAAGCCTCGCAGCTTGCTCCTGTAGAGTACCCCCACATTTTAACCCACGAGTTTGCAGTTCAGACTTTAACCTTTCCCGGCCAAGAACCTACAATAGAGAGGTGGAAAATTACGTTAATGATGCTTCCTAACGATTTGTAGTCAGAGCCCTCCCTAACTAAAATGACCACGGTGGGAGAGATGATGGTTAAAGCTGTGATAACAAAAGCAATGGGACGGGGACGTAATAATATGAGCTTTAATTTTGCTTTCAAAGTGGACATGCCTAGTCATGTTCACAAGGCGGACTATATTATACATAATCAACAAACAAGGGGAAGCGAAAAATTCAGCTCCAAAAACTTAGTGTGAGGAAGGTGCCCCTAATAGATTTAATTACAGCGCTGTAAAACATTTAACTGGAAGAGTAATAGAAGCGCTAAAAACCCTAAATCGCTTTAGCAATAACATAAAATTTCAATAAAAAAGATTTTAAATCTGATTAAAAACTCAGAAGCATACCTCCATTTCTGCTGCTGAATTATACTCATCAAAATTCAGTGGCTTTTCCATCACTGCAGTGTTTCCACTCGCAACGGTTTCCTCCCGAACTTCTGGATTGGACTCTGAAGAACCATTGGCTTCAGCGACAAGTGATGCACTTTCAATTTCTTGCCCATGCCCTGAACTAGAAACCTTCTCAGATTGACCAACTACTTTCTCCAAATTTCCCATCTCAGGTCCACTGCAACCTATCTTTCTGTCTTGCTCTGCTTCAGCTCCCGAAACCACATCAGGATCTGAACAAGTAACACTTGCACTCCAAACTATCTTCCCTTCGGAAATCACTGGTCCAACCATCTCATTCTTCTCAATATCAAGAGATGCTTGACCACGGCATCCACCAAAAGCTTGTGGTCCCCGCACAACCATCTCTTTCTCTTCCTCCGAACCACTATCACTTGAGCCCCCACTCGAGATCTCACCATCTTGTTTCCTACCAGTTACAGAATCCAAACTTCTCCCAGTTTCTTTACTTGAATCTGAGTTATTCCCATTATTCAATACGACAGATTTCTCCATTGTATCTTCATTATCACTGTCATCATCCTCTGAATCACTTTCACCCACTTTCCTCTTGCCCATCCTGACAAAAACAACAAATCGGATATCAACACCAATGACAATCATATTTTAAAACAATATTAAAGAGAAATGGTAGGAAGATACAGTGTTTCTCCAAAAAGTTTCTGAAATAAAGAAAACGTAGCATTTCCGAAACAAGTTTCACCAGAAATCAAAATTATACAATAAAAAAGACATCTAAGCAACCTCCCAGCTTAACCAAGCCCAGTTTTCCTTTCCTAAATGAACTTGATGGGTTCCTTTCCTTCACTCTATAACTTACAATCCCGATCATCCCCCGTAAATCAAAAGCAAACTGTGAAATCAAAGAACTTGGCTTTGTTAACCAAATTATTTATCATGTGAGTTTTCTACTTCAATAATCATATTAACCTCTATACCTATAACTAGCACATGTCCAAATCCTAATATTCATTTCAACACATAAGAAAAATACCATTTTTCTCAAACCACCATATCAATTCCCCATTGCATTTCTTTATATATTCTTCTGAAAGGATTCATTCAAATTCATAATTTCCAATTCCCTAGCACAAAATCAACACAGCTAACATTAAAATTTAAAACCCAACACAAATGCTTACCAAATTTTCAGCCTTTTCGAATCCTCCACGGCCTCCTTGGCCGGCCCCTTACGCTTCCCCTTCACCGCCTCCTTAACTGAATCCAAAACCTCCGAAATGCAGCGCTCCGACTGCTCCCTATACTTGGCCACATACTTCTCAGCCAAATCATCCCCAGTTCCCCTTTTGCCCTTCTTCGCCACACCCTTCAAATAATCCTCTGCCATCTTTTCAAGAATCCTCTCTTCTTCCTCAGCCCTCCACTCCTCCAGCTTCTTCTCCGCATTAACATGCCTCAACCGCCGACCACTCATATCGCGACAAGCGTCGAAATTGCTCGTCTTCTTCTGCCCGGCCTTCGTCGCCGCCCCACGCAGCAGCGACCCGAACCCGCCCTTTCCTCCGGCGAGACGGAGCAGAAGATGCACGGTTGGGAAGTCCGGCGCGTGGGAGGAGGAGCACGAGAGTACGGAATCCTCCTCGAGCTGGCGAGTCCCGGTGACGAGGCGCTGGTGCTGGAGGGGTATTTTGGTGAATTTGTATAGGAGGTGCTTGAGGGAAGTGGCGGGGATCTCCGGGGTTGTGAATTTTAGGGTTAGGGTTTTGCCCTCCAAGAGGTTCACGAAGAGGTTGTATGTGTTGGATTTGGTGACGGTGGATTCCGCCATCGATGAAATTGAAGAGGATTATTAGGGTTTCGAAGGACGAAAGATTTGATGGCGATCGAGTCCAGGGAGAGAGAAGGTAAAGGCGGTCCGATTTTGGATTGGGTTTTTATACGGTTCGCGGGTTTCTGTGACAGCCAATCTGGGTCGGGTATTTATTTATTTATTTTTTTTGTGGAAATTATTTTTCCTTTCCGAAACTAAATTATATAAATAAGATTTGATATTTTTTTATTAAAAAAAAAAAAAGCAAATGTGTTATAAATGTGCACAAGCCAGAGAGATAACATTTGCTAGAGGAAAGAGCAACACGACTATAACTATAACAAAAAGGAATTATAGGTAAAGAGAGAAAGAAAATGATATTGATATTATTACTTTCAATTTTTTTTTTTAATGAGTGTTGCAATCATACACTAAATGCTCTTTAGGTTTTTTTTTTTGATAAAACTAAATACTCTTTATATAAAACTACATGCGTGAAAGAATTATAAAAATAAAATAAATGCATTTAAAAAAACATCATGCAACAATAACAAAGCTAGTATTCGTCTTCCCCACTTTTCATCATAAAAAATTTCTTCCCCACGATTGTAATTATTTATTTAAGAAAAACAAACAAACCAGAAGTCTGATGACTGTTGTGATCTCTCTTCTGCCAAGAAACAGAGAAAAAAACCAAGTAAAAAGCTGTCTCCGGTAATAATACAAGAGCCTTCCACTTTCACAAGGATTTAATGGGCGAAAGGGGTCGGAGCTTTCAGGTGGATCCGAACGTCCCAAGATATGCATGCCAGAACTGCCGTAACTATCTCTGCGTCGTCGGCGCCGATTCCTACGCCGAAAAATTCTTCCACGATTTCTCTCGCTCCGGTTCGTTTTCTCTAATCCCGCTATTAATTTAGCTTAATCCTTATTATGTGCGCATATAATCGCCCAAATTTGTGTTCTGGGAATCGGATATGGAGTCCCAATTAGTCTCTTGGGGGTTTCAATTGAAGTTTCAAACGGGTGAGATTGCAAAATGTTTATCGTTGAGGGGCAGATTTATAATTAAAATGGGCTGGGTTTTGATTTAGTTAAGCTAAGTGTTGTTCTTTTGAACTTTTAAAGATTTTATCATGGCTCGAAAAACTTTATTATGCTCTTGTAGGCGTTAAGTTTTGCCATGGAGTGTTAATTTGTTGAGTTAGAAATGGGACTTGTTGCTGGGTGCTCCTTGTTGTGAAGAGCTAAGTTGACTAATCGATCCAAATAAGCGTATGATTTGACTAGAATCGAATAGCGTGTACTAAATATACGATTTCTTGAGTTGGCTGTTTTTTGTGGACGTTTGAGTTCGTGATTTTACGTGGGGTTAAGGGTTTGTTGATGGCCCGGTGCAGTGATGTGTGCAAGAAATGGTTTATTTGGTTTGTAATCATGAGTGGTTTGGTGATGAACACATGCAGGCATGCAGGATGAGTCCTTTGTGGTTGTTTATAAATCTGAGTCCTCAGCGGATGGTGGTGGGGTCCATTTTCCGTTACCTGAAGCAGGACCCAATGGTCCTTTGCAGCCTAACAATTCTGGGTTTCACTCTACTATAACTCTGCTGGATCGTGCATTTGAGATTGCCACCACCCAAACACTGGTATGCATCAAAATGCAAAACAATTGGACATTTTATATATGTTGGTGCCGGTTATTGTTTTTGAAAAGTAGGTTATAATCTGTAGGTTTCTGCTAACATTTCCAGGTTGAGCAACCTTTATGCATTGAATGCATGAGGGTATTGTTTGATAAACTTGACAAGGAGGTTGAAGATGTGAATAGGGACATTAAAGCATACGAAGCCTGTCTTAAACGCTTGGAGGGTGAGACAAGGGAAGTGCTTGGTGAGACTGATTTTCTCAGGGAAAAACTAAAGGTGCTTATTTCAAATATTTTCTAATGCAATAATCTCTGTGTGATCTGTCTATGGATAGTGAAAAAGGGTTTGTTTTATTGCCGTTATTCCTTCATTCTGAGGAACGACGCGAATGACAACTCCAAACGTCACACATCTGTTTTAGAGATTGCATGACCAGTAGGATGCATTTGTCTGCATTAATATAAAATACATTTGAGCTCTGATCCTACATTCAAGTGTTATGTTCTTTTTCTTTGTTTGCTTGGTCATAACTGAACCTCTTATCCTTATTGATTACCCTTTTTTGTGGGAAGTATTCTATGACATGCATAATAGTTTAAAAATTATTTAGTTTGCTGTTTAGAGCATGCAGTTTGATCCAAAAATGGCACAAATATATGGGAATAATCTTAGGCTTGCAATGGTTTATATTCATTGGAACTTAATATTTGTGAAGGTATTTTTTTCTAAAAAATTTAAGGCCAGGATATTAGCTTGGCTACAATCCTGCAGCAATTGACCGATACCAAAACTTTTGTTTAATAAACCTTCAAAAATATGTTTGTTTTCATATCAGCTTATTTTGTATCATAATTTTCCAAAGGAAAGTCTAAATGCTCACTGATCATCTTTGGATGCTATTTAAGATTGAGGAAGAGGAGAGAAAACTTGAAGCAGCAATTGAAGAAATGGAGAAACAGAATGAAGAAGTAAATAATGAACTCAAGGGACTTGAGTTAAAATCTAGCAGATTTAAGGAGTTGGAGGAGCGGTAAATTTCTTTTCCTCATGCTGTTTGTTGAATTTGTTGGTATACTTGATAAAATATCAAGTGTGCATCAGTACGTATCAGATTTCATCGCTTATTGTTGGAGGACCTGGGAACTACTAATTGTTGATTTTGCTTAACGTGTGTCAGGTACTGGCACGAGTTCAATATTTTTCAGTTTCAATTAATTTTGAATCAGGTGTGCCACTTCTTCTCAATTACTTCCTCTGCATCTTTAGCTTTTGCATTACAAGCTGCTAGGAAGTACATTTGCCCTGTATGTCTGACTTTGTGCTGATATGTCTGGCTGTTGGTTGGTGTAGTTTAATGTGGGTTCAAAAGTTTCTTTGACATTGAATTATTATATCAATGTTTGTCTTCGACTCTTCGTAATGTAGCTTATGTTAATTCTATAGAGGTTCGTCGCCATTGGTTTTTGTCATCTTCATAAAAGAAAAGAGTTGCATAGTGCACGTGTGTTCTACTTAATATCTAACTTGTGAATGGATATGTTCATAGGAGTAAAACACTCCTTTATGAGTTGTCTGTTTCCCCACTTTATCTGGATTGATGATACCTCTTTTTATAAAGCTCTTGCAAAAAAGTTTAAACAAGTTAGAAGAAAACATTGTTCCTTTGGTGCCCTGTGGGTATATTGCCGTTTGTGTCTAAGAAAAATATTTTTGGCTAACAGGAAGAAAGAGATGCAATTTTGGCCAAGATTGAAGTTTCACAAGCACACTTAGAGTTGTTGAAACGAACTAATGTGCTCAAGGATGCCTTTCCCATTGGGCATGATGGAGAAATTGGTACCACTAACAATTTTCGACTTGGACGACTTCCTAAAATTCCGGTTAGAAAGCCAAGCACGCATTTCCTTCTCCTTTGAGTTTGTCTTAGGACCAGTTAATTGACTCTTTACTTCTACGTTGAGACAGAAAATAGGCTCTGATATTGATGGTTACCATGTGAAAACAATTAGGTTGAGTGGGATGAGATAAATGCTGCCTGGGGTCAAGCCTGCCTTCTTCTCCATACAATGTGTCAACATTTCCGGCCAAAGTTTCAGTATCGAATAAAAATACTTCCTATGGGCAGCTACCCTCGGATTATGGACAACAACAACAATATTTATGAGCTGTAAGTATAGACTATGCCTATAACTTTAATCACCATTTAACGCTCCTAAAAGTCATCGTGCATTCCAAACTTCTAATAATTTAAGGGAGAAAAGTGCTTGGGAATTGCCCAATGACTTTTTTGGAGAGCTACCATATTTTGATTTCATCGAATCTCACTATTGTTAAAATACAACTTCAGTAGATAACCCCTGGTTTAGCTGCATATGGTGCATGAGTGGTGATTTCAATTTACTATTTAATTGGAATCACCCAAATGTTGAGTGCCTTGGTATCTGTTTCTAATTATAAATGTGTAATCTATGTATCTGTTTCTAATGTACAAATGTAGATGTATAGTGGGGGGAAGAATCTCTAGAATTACCTGTGTACTGAAATTCAGACTCTATCGAGTTTACGTTCATCATTTTGTTGGGTGTTTTAGTTAACTTGAGTGTTGATTAGGTTTGGTCCGGTGAACTCGTTCTGGAGTACTCGCTATGACAAAGCAATGACATTGTTCTTGACATGCCTCAAGGACTTTGCTGAATTTGCAAATTCCAAGGACGAAGAAAACAACATACCACTCGAAGAATGCTTTAAATTGCCCTACAAGTAAGTTATGCAATCTGTACCAATAGTATGTTATATCGTGTCCAAGCATTTTCCATCTCTCCTCCATATTATTTTTTCATAAATGATACAATATTTGCATCTACAAACGACCATAACTTTATCTTGTTTACCCTTTCAACTGATTTAAAGCATATGAAGTATGCAACATTGACATAAGTTTTAAATCATTTGACAAGTTTTTCTTCTGCATTGTTATCTCATTTCTATTAGGAAAAAGGAGAGACTTCGGTCACGATACTCTCTCCCAACCGTTAACCGTGTTGGACATTTTCATGTGCAGGATTGAGAATGACAAAGTGGAAACGTGTTCGATCACTCAAAGCCTCAATAAGCAGGAGAATTGGACTAAAGCTCTCAAGTACACCCTCAACAATTTGAAATGGGCTCTGTATTGGTTTGTTGGGAATACAAATTTCCAGCCTCGTTCTCCAGCAGCGTCTTCTTCACATGCTGAAGTCTCAGGTGTAGGCTCTTTGTACTCGAGACGCAGTACCGACTCCAAGTCTGAGTTCCGAAGCTAATCAAATCCACGACATAGGTATCGAATACATATTATACCGACTTGTATATAGAAACACCGTGGTTTAGTCTTGTGCAGTTAAAAGCATGGTTTGTAGTGTATTGTAATTCTTAACTGAAGTATTCATAATATTAGAGCAAAGGATTGCCGTTTTTTTCTGCATTACTTGTCGAATTTCAGTCTTACAAAAGAAAAATAAACAAAAAAAATTTTAATAAACGGGTACCCATAATCGTAATTATCAAATTTATATGGGTGGATAATTTCGGGTTTTTGCCCATCCCTAGAATTAGGACTGGGACGCTGGAGATGGAGAAGGGTGTCATTTTGTCTCACCAAACGTATGGAATACATGGCATCAATTTGCTAACACTAAAATGGACATTTCCTCAATTTTTGCTGATTCCTTGCATGGCTGTTTAACATGGTAAGTCTTTCGTATCTAAGCTGGCTAGAGCACGCTCTTTCTTTTTGCGTCAAAGTTTGAAAGCTCCTCCTTGTAACTTAAATTATATTAGAATACTGCTACAATGAAAACGAAAACATGAAAAGTTCCTATTTTTAGTTGTTACGGAAATAAAACCTTGGGTGACATGAATCTTGCATGATCATAAAAACAGCTGAAGAACTTGAAGCTGCAAAAGCTTACACTCAAACATTCATGTATATATAGAATACCTTGGTGTGTTGCAAAGACACAGCTCTCAGCTACAATTAAAACTTTGAGAACTAGCTAAGTGATCATCTTAAGAGTAAGGAGCAGCCATGTCTCGCCTAATCGGATTCTTCGCTGTTCTCATACTCCTTTCGATAACTGCACACTCGGCGCCTTCATGCCCTACGGTGTCACAGGAGGTGGCTCCGTGCGTCCCTTTCGTGAAAGGTGGAGCCAGCGCCAAACCATCGGAAGCGTGTTGCAAGGGTGTCAAGAACCTGAGTGTGAATGCCAATAACAAGGCAGACAAGGAAGCTGTTTGCCTGTGCCTCAAGCAAGCGTTGTCTACCATTGGAACCTATAGTCCCTCTCAAGTCTCGGCTCTTCCCAAGAAATGTGGCATCTCCCTCGTCCTCCCTCCAATTGACAGAAACACTGATTGCTCAAAGTAATTGATATGCTCCAACCGCTTAAGGTATCGCATTTTATGATCACATTACGTTGATATTTACTTGTTACGTCAGTTATATATATATATTAACACATTAACTATCACATCAACTAATGTAATCATTTGAGTTACTGAATTATCTCCATTCTTTTTTCATGCAGGGATTAATATTTTGCGTGCAAAGTGGTCTTATGAAAAATAAATTGTACCATTGTCGAATAATAATACCACTTTTATGTGAAAAACCTATTAAATTATAAATTATCGAATCATATCTATTCTTGTTTTATATTTTTATTGTGCAAAGGACAAAAATGAAAATTTTATTAATTTCAGTTGCTGAAACGATCAAAATCAAATAACGATGACATTATCTCATAGATATTGACACAATTTTCCAAAAAGTCATAATTTCAGTAATTAAGATTTTCATTTCATCATTTCAGCTATTTCCTTATCTTTATATTTCTTAAAAAATAAAGGAAATGTTATTGGTACTCTAAAAATCTTATTCTACACTCCTCATAAGTGTATTTTTCTTTCCAAATATAGAAAATCTGGAGTGTATAATGAGATTTTTAGAATGCCAATAACAATTCTTAAAAATAAAACTAAAATAATTGTCTACATACGAAATGACGTTTAAAATACAACATGGTGCACATAGTACGACGCTTACCAAGGCTTCAATTTTCATGATAAGGCGTTTAACATCATATTTTTCTCTCTTCTAGGATTCTCTCCTCTCTTAATTTTTTTTTTTCTCTTTCCATTCCCTCTTATTTAAATGGTTATGGTAAAATTACGTCATCGTTATGTATTAATTTTTTAATAGGAAGAAGAAGACAAAAAATAATTTGTGAGAGGAGGGGAGGGAAGAGAATAGGAATAGGAGGGAAAATAATCATACTTCCCTTTCAAACCCGCTTTGCTGGAAATTCATGAAAAAAATGAAGCATTTCTGCTGCTGATGGAGTTTCTGTCTCCTCGCATCTAGAAGAGAACTAAGAAGATTCAGAAAGGTAATTGCCTTTCAATAGTTCTCTTTCTGTTTTCTTATTTTCTGTTTGGATTCTGAGAAAATATGGTACAGCAACGGAAAATCTAATACTTTGTTGATTGTAACAACTCCTCCTATGATACAGTCACTGCTTGTATTCTTTTCAGCTTTCGTGTAAATACGATCTGGGTTCTTCGAATTTTGAGCCCCAAGACTATGGGATGCTTTAATTCATAATTTGAGCAGTCTGTATTGGGTTCTTTTCATTGGGTGCTTAGCTACTGATCACACGTGTGTGCATATATATATATATATGTATATGTATATGTATATGTATATGTATGTATGTATGTATATATGTGTGTGTATTAATATATGTATATATGGAGCTTATGACAATGCTTGTTGAGTAGTTATTTAAATTGTTTGAGAAATAAAATGTGAGAAATGAGAAAAAAGTTAAATATCAGTGTGCGCCACAAACAAAACTACAAAATAGAATATTATTAAATAAGAATGTCAAAACGGCTACAAAACTCCAAGAGACTACATTATGAATGACTTGTTATTCTATAGAGTTACAAAGTACTATATATATATATAAATGAGAAATTAGGTTCTCATCCTTATTTTTTCTACTTCATTGATTGAAATCTTATTCTTTTTCAAATTTTGATTAAGGTCTTTCGGTCTTAATAAACACCAATTAATTATTAAAAAATAAACTCCAAGATGCTACATTATGAATGACTTGTTATTAATTATGGATGCATTCTATATTAAAAAAAAAAGGGATTTTTTTTTATTTTATAAAATGAGTACATTTATATAATAAAATTTGGCTATATTTTATATATAAAAAATTGGTATATTTACCTAAAAACGTGGGTACATTTTATATTTAAAAAACAAAAGCAATGCTACATTTTAGATTAAAAAATAAATAGATTTTACATTAAAAAATGGTACTTAAAAAAAATAGGAATGCATTTTATAAAGGAAAAATTAGTATCCGGTCCCTAGTTAGGGACTAGAGACTTGAATAAAAAATCTAAAATATATAAGGTTTGAGTTTATAACAATTAGGGACCAGGGACCGCAACTAAAATATCCCTAAATTCTAACTATTTATAATGATTTAGAGCTTATATGGCATTCATCATTGACGTATGCCTAATTAATAAAAATATATCATTATTTAAGTCCAAAATAAAAATATGTCATTGATATATGACTTAATTTTAAATTTTTTTATTGACTTTTGGATAAATTACCTTTAATATTTTAATCCCACAAATTATGGGTTTTTATTTAAAATCTCATTAATATAATTAACTATAATTTTTAATTTTTAATTTAAAAAATATAGTAACATACATAGAAATAAAGTATCATATTAATTTCAAGGACTTCGATTAAAAATTGAAAACTAACAAGGTTTCTGTCGATAATATTGATAAATAGGGACCGCATCCAAAGTCTCCATATCACTTAGAGCATCTCCAAATGAGATATCAAATTTTAAACATAAAATTTGGATTTGATAACCTATGTGGCATTTTGACATCTTTCAAAATTTTGCTATCTACCCAGTATGTCAAATTAAATATTATTTTATTACACTATTTTTTTCTTTTTATTTTATTAAACTATTTTTTATGCCCCTTCTTTCTAAACTTCTCCTATCATGTTCGTTCTCTATTTTTTGAATCTTTGTTACCTGCTTCTCTTCTCCATCAACAACCTATCACCCTCTACCATCACATCGATATACTCAAACTCACCTGAAATCCAAAGGCCACAACCAAAATTTTTTTAACCTTTTAATTTCAATTTTTTATAAAATCTGTTTGGATGCTGAGAAAGTATGGGATTTTAAATTACCGACAGGGAAAGACAACAACTTCTCCCATTTCGATTTGCAGGTGGAGGAATTGTAGCCGAGGGATTGCAATCTATCGGCGATGATCTTCCTCGAATCGTAGCCAAGGCATTGCAGTGAGGATTCGAGAGCTCTTGTTTGAGCAACAGTGCGAAATGGAGTCTTACATTTGGGTTTTAGGTTGAGATCATGAGGTTAGTTTCTGGGTTTGGTTATGAGAAAAGGAAAGAAGAAGGACGAGCGACACTTATGAGGTTCGAGTGAGAAAGGAGAGTTGCATATCTGATAAAAAAAATTAATAAAATAACATTTAAAAATTAATTAAAAAATCTTTGAAGCTACTGTCAAATTTAACAGTAAGGGAGAGAGCTGCTATTCCATGTCATGCCACATCAGATTTGGCTTCTCAGTTGGAAAATATTGCAGCTGTCTTTTTTTATTGTTATTGCTGATTTTGACATTTTGACATCTCTTTTGGAGATGCTCTTAGCTAATCACTTAGAACATCTCCAAAAGAGATGTCAAAATGTACACACCAACTATAACAGTAAAAAAAAAAGACCACACTAATATTCTCCAACCAAAGTGCCAAATCCTATATGGCGATGACATAGATTGGCAGCAAAAGAGGTTGCTGTCAAATTTGATAGCAGTTTCAAATGTTTTTTTTATTAATTATTAATTGTATTTTATTAATTTTTAATTAGTTTAATCATTTATTATAATTAATGTTGAGTTGACCGATGCAATTATCCTACTTTTATCTTCTTTTCAATCAAGGAAAGTGAACAGATTACTGATTAAATTTTAAATGTTGTTTATTAAATTTTAATTAGTTTAATAATTTATTTTATAAAATAATAATTTAATTTGACATATAAGTTAGAGAACAAAACTTTAAAAGATATCAAAATGCCACATAAGATGTGAAAATTTAAATTTTATGTTTAAAATTTCACATCTTCTTTAAAAATAGTCTTATAGCTAATCACGAATAAGTTAGACTGCCAGCTGGCATTAGTAGAAGGCTTGAGTTGTATCTGAGGCGCACGATGAGGTTGTGAACCAACGGTCATATTCAATAAACAATATTAATACAAAAAAATACTCTCAGCTACTTCATCTTCTTCCTTGTGATTCCTCCATTAATCCATACAGTTGCAGGTTGAGATAGGGTATTGGATTCTGGCTCCTATCAAGGACGAGTGCGATGACTATCGGCCATTACAGCTTTGCAGGTACGATTTCTCCTTTTTCCTCTGCATTTTAATGTTCCCTCCTCGCAATCCATCGAATCCTTTTCTTCCAATTTTGTTCCACTCGTTCAATTTTTCAATGGTTTCTTTCTAGGGCGATTTTTTTATATATTTTCTTTATTTGGTCTGAGTCTCGGTCTCACCGTCTCAAATCCTCACCTGTATTCGTACGACGAGACGCAGTGTTCATGGGGAGACCTCGTCGCACGCGGCCAGCGAGGATTTCTATGGTTTGATTTCTACAACTCGAATTATTTTCCGTGATTGACTTTTAGGGTTTGTGAAAATTGGGTTTCCGCAATTTTGATTGTTCTAAAACTGGATTTGTCAATTTGAATAACTTGAATTTCTGAGCATGCATGTCATTGATGTCAATTAATCTTGTCGGCGGAGGAAAGAAGCAACCTTATATGTATGAACCTCTCTGTGAAATGTCTCTATGAAAGGAGGGAACACCCCTTGCTTCGAAGTTGATCTATTTCCCGAAGCGTACCGAAAATTAGAATCCCAAATTCGGGAATACCAAAATTTCGGTTCGATTTCAGTTTTTGAAATCCCGTCTCGAAAGGGATCGGTTCGGGATCCCAACCTGAACCACCCTCACTACCACCATAGCCAATGCCACCCCTATAATTAGCAGCCCCGCCAGAATCATCCATCATCCATATTTCGAATGATTACTCGGGACAATGAGCGATACCACCATAGCCATATAGGCCAATGGATTTTTTCCACATTGTAAGACACATGTCAAGGTAATCTTTGTAGGTGATCTCATGTGGTATAAATACATCACGACTCATGTCAAACGAAATGATTGCTAACCTAATCTTTCCTTCATCATCATAACGAGTGTTATCGCAAGATATGAACTCCTTTTGTTGCTCGCTTCCTAACCAAAGAAAGTGGTATCTGTTTCTAAAGAATAGGTCTTGATCTCTCTCCAACAATCTGTTTCCAAGGTGTACACTTGTACTCAGAGAGGATTAACAATCAGATGTTCTTTCTCGCCGTACAATTTGAACCAGAAAATGCAATGCTAACAACTTTGTAACATTTAGATAAGGGATCATAGACAAATCCTAGAGGAATTATGAGCCGCCCTGTTGCTGGAAGGTAGGGAGCTTCCACCGTGAGGGATCCAAATGGTGGGCTAGGCCAATTATTCTGAAGGAGTGGGGGAAGAAGCCTGAACTCCTGAATTGCCGGACTCCACAAAAACACCATAGTAGAATTAGATAGGTCTAGACAAATGATCCCATTGACCTATAATACCAATTGATTCGTCCCCGACCTCTAGATTCATAGAAAGAGGAACATGGATGTCCTCACCTTCAGAAATAAAGCTATAAGTCACCATAGTTGGTGTTGTCTGAGTCTCCAACAACATCATTATTGTTGTCAAAATTTAGCATTGAGAATATGGATTGAATTTCATTACCATTACCCTTGGCCTTGGGGTCCTCCGACTCCTTAGTAGGGACTAGCATTTGCTTCAAAAGGGCACGAGTGAATTGATTGATTTGCAAGGAATAGGAATTAGAGAGGTGCTTGTCAACGAAGCTGGGGTCATTGATGAAAGCATACCACCATTTAGTGACACACTTGAATTGCATCAGAGATTTCAGGAGTAGGGTTGAAAGAATTTTCACCAACAAATCTTGTCCAATTTTTCTTTTGCAAGACTTGTTTGTCATGATTTGTGCAATGTCAAGTGTCATGTTTCTCACTTAACATGCTCCAAGCAATATTATTTTAGTGCTGACAAAGAGGGCTCAGCCCAACCGTCTTATACTTTGCTCAATCCCATATGATTAAACCACTTGCATTTGCAGATGAGATAATGCAGCTTTCAGTAAAACGTTGAGTCTGGTAAAAGTTTCAGGCTGTCATGCTCAGAGGTTTTATAATTGAAAGCAACATTGCCAACAAAATCTGATAAAAAGTTAAAATCACTTAACGTTCTAAAAATATGCATTATCACATTTAAGCATTGGATTAAAGTAACAAATCCCTGACTTCAATTCAGAGTACATTCACTAAATATTAACATACAAATTGAAGTTCACAATCTACAGGAAGAACTCATCTAATCCATATGCAAGGGAGAACAGGTTGGGGGGCAGCCAAAAACATAAAAGCACCCGAAAAGACATGGGATTGAACAAAGAAAAAAACAAGATCATGCACATACCCTATCCCCAACTTACCAACTAACAAACCGAATTAGACAAAGAAAATGACAAGATCATACACATACCTACACCTAACTTACAAACCATTTAACCACCTTATCCTTGTCTTTAAAAAAACACCTTCTTCTGAATCTCTATGATAACCAAGACAAACAAAATGCATTGCTTCTTTAAGGTTTTTTTTGTTTAACAATATAGTTGTTCTTAATGAAGCAACAACTCCTCATGAATTTTTTCCGTATGTACAACAATCGTCGTTTGTATTCTGCAAATTTAAATTCAATCTGGATGTGGAAACCAATTTGAACGTGCAACTTTCATCACGTATGGTTTTTGACCGAGTAGCGAACCCTTTTGCAACGCTCTTGTGCTCTCGCGTAGCTTTCAACCCTTATGAGGTACATAATAACAAAAAAATAAAAGTTAAAATTAAAAATTAAGTTTTGTCTCTTCTTCCTTCACCCTCGCTCTTTTTATCTTGCTCCTTTTAGTTCCATATACAGTGAGTGCTTCTTTCATCTTCCATGATTCCATTTGGGCCCCACTTTTCTTTCCCAATCACCGAATCCCTGTTTCTCTACAACACCAACGACAAACATGTGTAGGTATACAGTTGGATGAAATCTCTTGGGTGAGTCCTCCCTTGGCATTTCTTTCTTCACATATATACTTATATCTTTGTTTGTCTTTTCTTTTTGTTCTTTTATTGTACCTTTTTCTTTTTTCCTGCAACTTTCTAATGTGATTTCTCGTCTTAGTTCACTCAAAATCATGAGATGTAAACAAACTTGTCAATATATTGGTCAAACCCGAATACAAGTAGCACGAATATGTTTTTTTGTCAAACAAAATATAATAAGCCTGGATTATGCTCCGAGGACACATTTTCCCCAACACAGTACTTTGAATATGCTCATAGCTTATGGTCTGGTTATGATGTAGATATATTTTTTTTCGAGCCATGGTTCTACCAGGCTCCCGATATCAGTTTAGCCAATTTGAACAAGCCATTCGTAGATCAATAACTTGAAAGACACCTACTCTATATTGCCGAATGGACAACCACCATTTATTTCTACAGGAAGTTATTATTTGACCACTATGCAACTGATTACTATCCATTTGGCAACGCAGAGTTGGTGTTTGTCCATTTATTGATTTGCTAATGACTTGTTCAAGTTAGCTAAAGTGATATTAGAAGCCTGGCACCGTATATCTGCATTATAGTCAAACCATAAGCTATGTGCATGTTGAGAATAGTGTGTGTGAGAAAATATGTCATCGGAACATAATGCGTGCTTGTTATATCCTACTTGCTAGAAATACATATATGTGCTCCTCACATTCAGGTTTGGCCAAAATATTGACAAATTTCTTTCAGTTCATTATTTTGACTCATCTGAAACGATAAATCACATTAAAATGTTGCTGAAAAAAAAAGAACAATAAAATGACAAAAGACAAACAAGACTAAAATCATATATATGTATATATATATGTATATATGTATGTATGTATGTATGTATGTATATAGATGTGTGTGTGGAGAGAAATGCCAAGAAGGACTTGCCCCAAAGCGGTTTTATCCAAACTCTGTACCTACGAGTGATGAGAGAAAGAAAAGTGTAGCCCAAATACATGGTAGAGAAACAAACACTCACTATATACGAAACTACAAAATAGCAAGGGGAGGGAAGAATAGATAAAATTTAATTTTTAATTTCAACTTTTGTTTTATGTTACCTATAAGGCTATAAGTGCTGAAAACTAGGCTAGTGCATATTAGCGTTGCGAAGGGGTTGGTTGTGTTACTCGGCCAAAGACCATGTGTGGTGGAAGTAGCAGCCTCAAATTGGTGTCCGCAAACTCAAGATTGAATGTGCAAAATACAAATGGTGATTGTTGTACGTATTGAAAGATTTCATACGGCATTGGAAAAGCGTGATGAAGCAAGGCATTTTGTTTGTCCGAGGAAATTGGTTATCAGAGAGATTCAGAATAAGTTGTTTTTGTTTTGAGACAAGTAAGATGCTTAAATACTGAGCTTTTTAGGTTTATTGGTATGTAAGCCGGGTGTGGGTATGTGCATGCTATTTTCATTTTCTTTGTTTAATTTGGTTGGTTGATTTGTAACTTTGGTTGCTATTTTCATATTTTTGGTTGGTTTCATTTCCTGTATTTTTGTTTGTTCAATTCTATGTTTTTTTGGGGCACTGTTCCGTTATTGACCGAACTCCTACCTATTCTCCCTTGCATATAAAAATATGGATTAGGTGAGTTCTTTCTGCAAATTGTCAACTCCAATTGTATGTAAATATTCCGTGACCACTCTGGAATTTGTATGTAATTTGGGGTAGGTATGTCCAACTTCTCCCTAAACCCTCCCTATTCTTGGCCACATACTTCCCAGCCCAGTTCCATCTTTGCCCTTCTTCGCCACATCTTTCAAATAATCCTCTGCCACATACTTCTCAATTATCGTCCCCAAATATGTCTGCCAGAAGTGTCGCAACTCTCTGGGGCTTTGAATTGAAGTTTCAAATGGGTGAGATTGCAAAATGTTTTTCCTTGAGGGGAAAATTTATAGTTGAAATGGGTTGGGTTTTGATTTAGTTAAGCCAAAGTGTTGTTCTCTTGAACTTTTAAAGTTTTGATTGTGGCTCGAAAACCTTAATTATGCTGTTATAGGCTTTAAGTTTTGCCATGAAGTGCTAATTTGTTGAGCAAATAGTTTGAGTTAGAAATGGGACTTGTTCCTGTGAAGAGCTAAGTTGACTAATCGATCCAAATAAGCGTATCATTTGACTAGAATCACATTGCGTGTACTAAATATACGATTTCTTGAGTTGGCTATTGTTTGTCGACATTGTTACTTGTTAGTGTTTTTAGGATTGATTTACTGTAATTCTAGTTGGTTTCAATTTCTAGAAATCACAGAGAATGTGATGAGCTCGTTTCAGAGAGCAGAGATGAAGAAGGAAGAAGCAAAGTGTGAAACTTCAAGGAGAAATCTGTGCTGGATTCTCTTCGATTCGGTTATGCTAAACATACTGGAAGTGTGAGCAAAAATAGCTGTTGCTAGCTCACACCTCAACTAGTAGGTCATGTGAGTTGCATGCGAGCAACTTAAACGCTTACGTCAAATTGGACAGGTACAAAGCTTATACTTCAACAGACATTTGAGTTTGTGATTTTATGCAGGGTTAATGGTTTCTTGATGGCCCGGTGCAATAATGTGTGCGAGACATGGTTTATTCGGTTTGTAGTGCTGAAGCAGACAATCCAAGCCAGTCTGGAAAGGCAATGGATGAGTCCTTTGACAAGGAGATTGAAGATGTGAATAGGGACACTAAAGCATACGAAGCCTGTCTCAAATGCTTGGAGGGTGAGAGAAGGAAAGTGCTTGGTGAGACTGATTTTCTCAATGAAAAACTAAAGGTGCATATTTCAAATATTGTCTAATGCAATAATCTATGTGTGATCTGTCTATGGATAGTGATAAAAGGGTTGTTTTATTGCCATTATGCCTTCATTCCGAGGAATGACGCAAATGACAACTCCAAACGTCACACCTCCGTTGCCTACCTACCATTTAGGTAGTACTTTTAGAGATTGTATGACCAGTAGGATGCATTTGTCTGCATTAATACAAAATACATTTGAGCTCTCATCCTGCTGTGTGTCTCGGGTTGCCGTATTCGTGTCTCTGTCTGTGCAACATAGATCCTAAACTCCTATATTCAAGTGTTAGGTTCGTTTTCTTTGTTTTCTTGCTCATAAATGAACCGCTTATCCTTATTGATTACCCTTTTTTGTGGGAAGTATTCCATGACATGCAGAAGAGTTAATTAGTTTTAATCACTCCTATATCCTTGGTTTGGATGAGTGGGAAACCGGGAAGGGTGGTTATATCTTGCTGACGGGATATTTACTTTGGATGAGTGGTCCTGAAGTAAAAAATTTCTAATTGAGGGTACATTTGTTATTTTGGTTCTTATTTAACATAGATTTTTCAAAAAATGATCAAAATAATTGACAGTAAACAAACTCAGGAACCACTTCTATTGATTTCAAATATCAAAGACAGAAGTGAGAAATTAAGCTAATCTTAGAGACTATTTTGGCTAAATCACCTAAATTTTGCACTCAACCAAAAACACTATTCATGAGTGCGTACAAGATGCGATCAAGAGGGTTTGCATTTTTTTTTTTTCCAATTTTCACACTTGTAAATTAATTATTATAATAATAATAAAAAATTAATGTGCTTTAGTATTCTTAAATTACTTTGGTATTTTTAATGTGCTTTGGAATTTTTTGAAATGAGTGTTTAATTTATACATAGAAAACCATCCAGTGTGAATCTCATTTCACATATGGAGGTTGTAAATGGCTCGTAAAACAAGTGGAACCCTCAACGCATCAGAAAATCACTAAGAGCAATAAACTATACACAAAAATCTCTCTAAGAGTAAACTTGTATGTATCTAGTGACGTTCTGCAGTAAAATCGGGCTCAGCGGGCTTCTGAGGCAGCAGAGGCAGCAATGTTGGTGACGGTCTAGTGTCGCGCTTACCCTTTTGTCGCAACCCTCGCAGCGCGTTGGCTGCAAACTTTGATGCATATACAGCGGCAAGGATGCTAGGTGAGGTTCCTGCATCTCTTGTCAAAGCATCTTGCAATCTGTCCTCTTCTTCGCGTAACGACTTCTCGAGCTTTCTCTTCCAGTGCCGGCGCCATGCTGCTTGTATGAAACAGGCTGACCATGTTCTCCACTGCTGGGAGTAGAACCTGAGAAAGTAAAATTGTAGTTTACAGCATAAGAAAACTACATGACCGAAAACCAAAACTATAAACAAGAATACTAATCGCAATCCATATATCGGTTTAATGCTGCTTTTGCATAACACAAGTTTCCTTCAAGTCATTAAAATCACTGTAATATGAAGCTTGCCTGAAAGTGTGTTGGAGCTGCTTGCTGTGCAGGCGCCGAAACTGGGAGGCGACAAACTTCAAATCATCAGCCTTGAGTGCAAACGCTTCAACCTCGGTTTTAGCTTCCACTGTCCTAGTTGAGGTGGGGAGATTGGTGGAGGAGTTTGGATCCAAGGCCCATGTAAGAAGCTCTTCTCCACAGAAGTCACCAGCCTTAAGATCAGCAGTGTTAAAGAAGCCAGTTCTTCCACCATTTGTAGTCATGGTTGCTAAATTTCCGCGCATAATAAACAGCATCTCATCTACTGGATCACCTTCTCGGGTTATATAGCTCTTGTCCGTGTATAGAACTGGCTTGAGACGATCGCACATGGCGTCCATCAGTTGTTCATCCATTGTTTCGAAAATTGGCACCTACGACAAATTGAGCTGATTAACAAAACTGCTAATATTTGGAGAAAACGAGGATGCAGAAGTTATTAGTGAAAACACTCACTCTCTGGAGAAGACCCAAGCAAAGATGGCGCTTTATGTCCTTTCGTAGGTCCTTAGGAAGGTTACGAACTAGAGTATCTTCGTCAACACCTCTTGTTTCTTGCCATTTGTACTGATCATACCGTCTAATCCTTTCCCTCAAGTTCTCCGGGAGCATTCGGTGTGCCATCCACTGTTCTGCATCGCGCCTTTTCACTCTCATTTCTTCAATTCTCACAGTTGTGGACTGCAGATATTTCTACAACATCACAAGAAACAAGGTCAGCATCTTAGGCTTTTGCTCATTCATTCTAGGACAAAACTAAAATTGCCGAATCAACTTTTACCTGCATATTGCCAATCAGCAACGAAAACAGAACTAATCCCAAAATCGATATGCTAACGGCAAAGATTATCTCCCAAACATATGTACTTGTTTTGAGGTTTTGGCCAAGTGAACTGCAAAACTTGAGAGTTTTAGCTGCTACACTTCACAATGCTAAGTGATTAAGAAAGGAGAGTTAAAGGATCATGATTACGAACCTAAGGTTGCGCAGTCCCCACCAGAAGCAGAACAAGAATTTCTTTGGAAAATCTCTTGTCTCCACCACACCAGACGCCAGAGCATCATAATATATCCCAAAGTTGAACACTGATGAATTTTTAATGTCGCCCGGGTCAATGAAAGGGCAAGAAGCGTTTTTATTTGCCACAAAGCTTGCACCAGTGTCACTGTTACAGTACAGGGAATTCTTACAAGCATCTTTTCCATCGCAATGATCGCGCCAGCACCTATACTCGCGTTCCATGGAGAACAAATACCAAAAGGCTCCAACTATCTGGTATAACACATTCGCCACCGCATCAGAAATGCCACATCATTTTCTCAGATATTTCTGAGGACTTGAAAACTATCAAAACATCAAATCAGACTTACATGACTGGCTAGCATGTAGAGCAGAAGATTGAAAGCAGCTCCGGCCCATGCTGTTTCGGTCAGGAAGCCAGAAGTTCTTGTTACTTCTTTGTAGAGTGGAAAGATCCTCCAAAATCTCGGCACATATTGCGCAACGATTACAAACTTCAGCAAGTCCTTTGTGACCGGTGAAACCGGACGCGATATTGTAGGAATTACAATAAAAACTACAACCTGAACAGATGTAGCAGAACCAGGAAAAACGTCAGTATTTGAGTTGCGGACATAAGTTCCAACCAGAGATATGGTTAACAGAAACCAATCCATTATAATAAAATCCTGTGTAAACTACTGACCATACCTGTGGCAATGGAAGAATGGCTAGAATGTCAATGATGAAGTACGAGGACAAGTATCTTTTCGCAATGGCCACGGGGTCATCAATTAGCTCACCCCTCCCAAATACGCGAGAAGATGGGGCAATAAACCCCGTGCGGAACTGAAAGATGATGTGAAGCACATGAAAGATGTCGGTAAATGATCGAAGAACACAAGCAATGATCTGCAATCTCGTGTCCATCTCGATGCATTTTTTTTTGCCATCAACCACCGGGGTATAAAGAAACAGCGGGTCCAAGGACACAGCAATGACACAAGAGAGCACAAATATCTTATTCCAATTCTGAAGAAATGATCCCTGAGGGTCAAGAATTTTCCTCCTCGAGCCTGACTCATTTGCTGGCCGGTTGCCTACGGAAGTGGAACTTAACGGTTTTTTCAAGCTTATAAACCTGTCGGAACCTCTATCTAGTCCTCTCCGAATACTCCTCAAAACTGCATTCACAGATGGTTTCGCTCTTCTTAGATTTCGTCCATCATCAGCAGAAGCTTCTCTTTCAGAACTTACAGAACCCTCCGATTGCCAATCTTCAAACCTGGATAGAACAGCAAACATAGCAAGCAGCACCGAAGAAACTAGTTAGATAAGGCAGACAACTAAATCAAGGATCAACCGCATGGAAATGCTCCTAATTATGAATTCAGTGCTTGATTCAACATTAGTATCACAAGCACCGATCTTCTCTCAATTGAGTCAGTTACTGCATTTCAATGATAATATCTAAGTAAATGTAACTGTATTGCTGCACCGGGGTTTCTACATATCTCAATCTGACTCCTACTACGTATGCTGATTGCTTTAGTCCCGTGAATTAGTAACATAACATAACGCAGGTGCACAAACAATTGCGTGAAAGTATATTAGATTCCGAAAGTACTAGCAGCAGCATTGAACAAACTAACCTTACAAATTTAAGCCTCTTGGAATTCATGCTTCTGATATTCAGATTCCCGTTGCTCAGTGATCTTCGGTATTGAAATTTACTTATCTAGAAACTCGAAGAGGCGCACGATATAGTAGACCTAACAACAACAGCAATAGAGATAAATGTGATCAACCTCTAAAGCAAGAGTGATAAACATGGTCATGAATTTATAACAAAAATTTTCCAATGGAATCGTCAGTCTGAAAAATCGATGTTTCCGCACTCGAAAAAATCAACCATGCAGTGATCATTTTCTTCTAAGCTAATTAATCTAATCATTCCACAGTCAAAGTAAAACATAGCATTGACTCAAAGTCCGAACAAAGATAGAATATTACCAAAAAAGGAGAAACAGGATGAAAACATGGCAATCGAGAATAATCCATAAACAAACATGGATAAGAAAAACCGTAACAAATTCAGAAAAAATAAACTATATAACACCCTTTGTCCCCTCACACAAGTTATAACTTTCTGTTTGGTTGCTAAGAAAAGAAAGTTTCAACACCGCTGGACTTGTATTGTTATACCTTATTTTCCCACACCATGGAAACCCATGTCAGAAAAAGCTAGACTGATGTATCCGACCAAAACCCAACGAGGATGGAGCTTGTTATTGTTTCCTTCCTGATGTTCCCAAAGTTCTGAGTATTTTCTCTTCTTTTCCCACCTTTTTTTCTCGGACCCCAAACAAAAAACCAAAGGCCAGAAAACTTTAGGACGAAGAAATCAAGGAAAAAACAACTTGTAGGGAAATTTCGTTTCTGAATAAAGCAAAACAAGTTTTGCAGAGAGAGTCTACAAATGGCAGTTATATGTGTTCTTGTGTGAGTCAAGAGACGGAAATAAGAAAGAGGGAGAGGAAAAAAACACAAGGCGCGGACGCAGTCCACGCTTGAGAAGAGTCTAAGTCAAGCCCAACGAAACTCCAAAGAAATTGAGGATGATAAGACTAATTTCCTTGATTTTATTATTTTATATGTACTGTTGGGCTACTTGTCTCGAGTCATCAGTTTACTATGTATCGATCGTTTAATCGATTAATAATATAAATTTTTGAATACGTTATAAGTATTTATTGAACGTTAATAATATTAAGGCAAAATTTTAGTTGCGAAAAAATCTCTTATGTTTTATAACTCCAATAAATTAAAG